ATCTTACAGCTAAAATAAATCTTTAATTATTACATTTGCAGTAGTTTTAAAATCCAACTCTAATAAATAAAAATGATTTTTAATAGTTGTGTTTAGTCAAAAGTCTCAGGACACCGTTTTATTTCAGAAACAAAAGGGAAAATTAAATCTCTGAAGATGACTGCTGAGGAACTGGACCGGCTCTTTGGGTCCTCGAGGGGTCATTGCCCATCCAGTCTACACGCGCTTTGTGGACTTGGGACAGTTTGAACATGTTCCTGGAGGGACTGTGGGGGCTACTTTGRGAGTATGGGACATTGTTAGGAGTTTGAATCACATCATCGACAGCAAGTCGAACCCCTTCAGGGTGGGATTTGGACTCCAGGGCTGTCTGTTGTCACTGACTCTGTTCATGAGTTTTACAGACAGAATTTCTCGGTGCAGCCAGGGGGGAGGCGGTCCGGTTGGGTGGGCTCAGAATCAGAAGCATTTTATTGTCGTTCACACACACATCAGGACGCAGTGCAGAACGAAATTTCAGRTTAGAACATCCGTCCGGAGAAACACACACACGACAGACACGGGGGAATTAATGTCCAGGGACCTGCGCAACGTAGTGCGCTACCTTTGCAGTTTAGAATACACACAGGAAGGATGAGTTAAAAAAAAGAGCTTTGATCCTGTGTTTTGTACAAAAAACACGATCATGCGCACAAAAAAACCACTCTGCGAAAGGGCAGCTAAGGAGGGGGAGGGAGGCCTCAGGTAATCTGTCGTTTCCATTCGATGTTGGCGTCATCGCGCCGGGATCTTCATGGATTGTTCTCGTCAGGTTGGGGGTGAGGGTCTGCCTCCAGCTGAGGAATATTTTTGGGGTTTTGTTCATGAGGGAAAACTGGTGCGAGAGGTGGGTGGAGCTTCTGCAGTGTTGTGGACTCTGCTCCAGTCTGTCGTGGTCAAGAGGGGTTTACCGGTCTGGACTCTCACTTAGAGACAAGCTGAGTTCAGTTTTCCAGGAGAGACTCGGGAGTAGAGCCGCTGCTCCTCCACATCGAGGGGAGCCAGCTGAGGTGGTTCATCTGGTAAGGATGCCTCCTGGATGCCTCCCAAGGTGCTCCAGATATGTCCGACTGTGAGGAGACCCCGAGGAAGAGCCAGGACACACTGGAGAGGCTATGTCTCTCATTTGGAACGGAAGATCTGGAGGTGGCGGATGTGGAAAAAGACGTCCGCACCTCCCTACTCAATCTGCTGCCCCAGTGACCCGAGTCTGGATTCTGTCCTGAGACTTTTGACTCACCCTGTAAATCACGGATTGTTTACGTCACATTTTATAAACGGTGCAACATACAAAACAACATGCTAATAAAAGTTTTACAACCGTTTTCAAAACCATTTCATAAAGCAAACACAGGTACGTAGCTAAGCTAAGTGAGCTAGCAGCTGTTTTATGGTAAAATCATGCCATAAGTCTTGAAGGAAAATAAATGTTCTAAATAATAACTTCACAATGTAAACGAAATCCAGAAGAAATAAAAAGGAAACAACGTGGAATATCTCAATGTTTTTATTGCTGCTGTTGAACCAAGAATACAATAAAAAAACATTCATCCACTTAAAAAGTTTCATGACACTGAAGAGAGTAGATACAGGTACAAAGGTGTTGTGCATTGGCGTAGCGCTACACAAACAAGTGCCTAGGAAAAAAAAAACAAGGAACAAAAGGATAAAAAAAATTATAAAATCAAACCACTGTATTAAAAATAAAATCACATTAATTCACTCTTATTTTGGTCAGGCTCCCCTGCTCGTTTTAGGAGCCGTGGAATGTGATTGTCGGACTCGTGAGCAGTAACGTTTATCAATTTAATGCCCTGACAAACCGTCCATGTTCGCTCCAAGGCAAACTCGAGAAAAACAAAAACAAAAACAGAATCGCACTCTTTCAGCTGTCCTAAATGGTTTCATTGCAATCATAAGGCAGGAGGGGGTTTCCATAGTGGTCCACATCCAGATTTGATCTGCACGCCCTCAATACAGCCGAGCAGAGAGGAAAAAATAAAATAAAAACGCGTGTGAAAGCCAGAATACAAAATGATTCGCAAATATTCCTTACAAAAATAAAACCTGAAGCTTTAAGCAGCGAAGGCACCGTTTTAAAGGAATGTTCGAAGAGTTTTTTTAACAAAAAATTGCAAAAAAACAACAAACAAAAACAAAAAAACAGCTAGCTGAGATAAACCACATAAAAAATTAAATAAAAGATGACATAAAAGGATAATAAAAATCGTAATAGCCTTCTGAATAAAACACTCATCACCTCAACTAAACTGCCTGTTGGTGAATAGTTCTGGATACTAGAAAAAGCAAAAGAAATACTTTTTGTTATGAGTATAAAAAGTGTTATAAACGATACATTGATATTCAAAACGTCACATGTGCTAACTTATATTACTCAGACCAGCGCTGCTCTATTGTTTAAGACATAATAAAAGTGAAATGAGCTAATTTCTAGAGGTGCTTTGATTTCTATCCTGAATGGTGAGAATGATGAATAAAATAGCAATGTGGTGAAAATTTCTCTTTAAATATAAATAGTAACAAAAAATAAAAAAATAATAAAAAAAGAGATGGAAACATCAGTGAGGAGGAAGAGAACTGGTTTACCACATCTCTTTGGAATGTGAAACTTTTTTTTTTTTAATTTATGAAGCAAAAAAAAAACAAAACTGAAGACCCCGTCTTATAAAACTATGAATACTTTAAAAACAGGTTTTGGTTTAATAAAATCTGTGATTTATGGGGATTTTTGCTTTGATCATAATTAGTTTTAAAGGCTTAAAAAACTGTCCTGTCCTGATAAAAGTGACGAGCAGGAAACAGAAACGAGGCGATGCCTTAAAGAAACATTTAGTTCAGTTCTCCACATTCGAAGTTACAGATTTATTCAGATTAATAACCAGATTATGAGAACGCTAGTCCTGGGTTCCTATTTTCTTCTTTAACAAAGTCCAGGGTTACTTTGTTCCTCAGAAACCACAGCCACATTTCAGCTGTTTTATTTATTTTTTTCCGTTAAAGGCACAGTGTGTAGGATTTTGTCAATTCTTTTAGCCGAAATTGAGATAATCACTAATGACAATAATAAAAAACATGTCTAATCATTGCAGACAAAGACCTTGTTTTATTATTTTTACCTTATAAAAAGCTGTTTATATCTCCATGGTCGCGGGTCATCACTACAGGCAGCCGCCATCTTGTCTACGAAGGCTCATGAAGGACAAACTGCGGTGGCGGCGTCAAAAACGGTTTTAGTTGTAATACTATAAATGTAATATTTGTTGTCTGTCARTGTAGCTGGGATAATTTTACTTATTAAAGCTCATAATCTTACCACTTGAAACATCACTAGTCCTGAAGCTGCTGGTAGACATCGCAGTTGGAATTATCAAAGGTTTTTGACACCTGAGAGACACCGTAGCAACTCCTTTGCGTTTGGAAGCGGGGGGTGGGGGTGGGGGGAGGACCAGGGAGGATGATTCAACCACTCAACCACTAGATGTCYCTGAAAACAACAAATCCTACACACTGTGCCTCACCTATAAATGCTTAAAACTCTGAATCTCAGGAGGTTAAACTTCCCAAAGTTCATTGTTTTTAAAGACGACGTTTATAATTTGGGTTTAGCTTTATGATGTTTGATACTGATGCAGAGTAAAACTCGGGCTGGRATCAGCGATACTGATCTGACACTTTGTGAAAACACACACAACGTGTCTGGTCAATTTTAAAAAGTAGTTTTTCAAATAACCACCTCATAAAGAATACAAAACAGAGTAATTTATTCATTCATTTAAAAGTCTTTGTAACCCTAGRCCTATTATATTGGTTTAGCATAATTTAAAATTCTTATGCTAAACAAATAATTTTTGAATAAAAGAAAAAAAATGTTCTAAAAGTTGTTACCTCCCATATTTTTCAGCATTGTTTGTGGGTTTGCAAGAGGATCCCCAGCCAGAAGCTAATGCTGTTTGGGGGCCATAGCATGGAAAAGTTTGGGAGCCCCTCATCTAGAATGTAAATAAAGACCGTCAGACAAAGCTGATTTTATGTTAAAATGGCCTGCCATACAGGGAACGTCTACAGACTGATGAAGCATCACCCAAGCAGAAGAAAAWGTAGTTCCCTCTAACCTCATATGGTTRAGACAAGATTTGAATAATTGAGCTATTTTCCTGTTAATGATACACATTACCTGAAATGACTGAAGTATCAAAGTATTGATATTTTGYTTTTAGTARRGATTCTACAGCATAAAGTTCTGGTATCGATATTTCAGTATTGATCTAGTAAATGTGAAGCTRTTTGTTGTGGCTCTTCAGGACTTAATTTTACAAACGTGATTTTCACAGTTTYTGTTCATTACACAACGATCTGCTCAAACGTGTATTTGTCTACATACTCAGATGCAGCCTTTGTTTTTTAGGGTTTTGTCGACGTATATCTAAAAAAAAAAACTTTCGAAAAGCTAAAACGTTATTTTCCTCCACTTTTTTGTAACAAACACTGCTGATCAAGCCGATGAGGGCCGGCAATAAAAAACTGTTTAAATATTATCCAGAGTAGTAAAGAGTGGGTCCAAATGATCCGATTTCACAGCATTTTTTTTAAACACATAAGAACTTTTTGTGCAAAAGCATTATACTTGGCAACCCTACGATAATCTGCTGATGGTGTTTCAGTTACAGTGCGAGGACTTGTGTCCCTCCGTGGTCTGTGTGTGTCTGTGTTCGTGTGTTCCCCTTCTGGGATCATTATTTGGTTCTTGTGAAAAATAATAATAATCAAACAAATAAAAAGTCAAAGGAAGAGTCTTGGATTGTCGTGGTCCCCCAGCTGTCGGCGGCTCCTTTAGTGCCCCATGCCTGGACAAAAGACGAAACAAACTCATGAGTGGGTTAAAAACGACAATATTTCAGGATTTACAGTTTCAAAGAGTGCAGGAGAATATTAAAGGAGACCAATTATGGGTCCTAGAAATGTTTATGGTATGTCTGTGGGCTATCCAGACCATGTTCATTCAATTTAATGCACAAAATAATTCTCAGATAATAAAATTTCCCATTTTCTAGTTCTGCCTGCTCTGACTTCCGTTCAGAAGAGCTGTTTATGTTAATGAGCTCTGTTGGTAACGCCCTCCAAAAATCTGTTGACATTAACTCCGCCCTCCAAAGCCAGCGTTTACGTTAGCATGGCTAATAATAGCAGAAGCTCCGTTGTACAACCATATGAGACCCAGAGGCAGAGTCGTGGTCGCAGCTTCTTTTTTTTCTCCCTCCTCTGCTCTGCGCTCACTCTGCATGCTGTTACCAGAGCAGGGAGCAGCAGCGGTCAAAATACCTCAGAAACCCGAACAAATAGGCTTTAACAAGGCTTTAATAAGCTAAACAATAGAGAGGTACATGAGAAAACGTGTTCATAACGAATGAAAATAAATAAATAATTAAATTGTGTCCGTGCCAGTCTCAAACCCTGGTCTCCCACTCTCTGGTCCAACACTCTACCCATTGCCCTATTGGAGGCTTGTTGTAAAATGAGCTGCGCATTGCACAACAACAACCGTGATGGCTTTTTATACTGAGGAGGTGGAGTCTCACCCGGGTGAGGGGCTGAACGCAGGTTCTGGTGGGTTGTCGTACGGCTTGGGACATCACAAAATGATGGAAGTATAAAACTTGTCGTTAAAATACATTTAAAAAATACATTTACTTACAGTAAATATGCCCCTGGGTGCAATTTTTTGGTGCTAGGACTGTTTTTTTAAGAAGTACATACCCATAATTGAGTAAAAAYACCTTTAAAAGTGAATTTTGCATAATAGCTCCCCTTTAAGAAATCGGAGGGTTAAACAAGCAGTTGTGTCAAACAGACTCTGGGCGAGAACTCCTAAAAAATGTGTCCAAATCCTCTGTCATCCTGTAAGTCGGGCCCTAATCTCCAACTCAGCAGCTATTAATGTGACAAACCAGCCTGGCAGGAGCACCGCTTCTGACACTCATCAGGGTGGAGAGAGACAAGAGTGGAGCAGAGAGCTTTGAGTGTAAATAAATAAATAAATAAATAAATAAATAAATAAATAAGGGGGGGATGATTCGTGTTGACACGTGGAGAATCCATCAAGGCCAAACTTCTCAGGCGCAGGTATGAGGGGAAGTCGTGGAGGCTGATCTAATTTTAAAAACACGCGATGTTTAGGTGGCCGAGCCAAACAAAAGGCCAAACAGATGACTGTGGGCGGGTCGGTGGGGGGGTCGGTTACCAGAGCTGGGACACATGACGCTGAATAAATCACAGCTCCGGTGACGAAGAACTTCCAGCAGGAAGGTCACGTCTTCACTCTCGGCTGGAGTACGCCCATGTTTATCTAAAGAACATCTCCTTCATTTTAACAACGACTTGTTTAACCAGAAACAAGCTGAAACTCCTGACTGGACGGGTCTGAGCAAACGCTTGTGTCGTGTTGCAATAAATTAATGAATTTAAAAAAAAACTCACCGTTGGCGACTGATTTGGTCTCGCCTCTGCCCGCCATCTGGAACACAGCGACAGGAAGGACAACGTTAGCGAGTCATGCCTGGGCTAGCTCAAAGCTAATTTAACCTGACGCAACGAAACAACCTGATCAGCTGAAGATGAGAGGAAAAAAAAACTGCTTATTTTTGTATTTAAGAGTCTGGTGTCTGTTTTTTGTTTAAAACAAAGATTAATAATCAGTATCTTACTTGCTGTAGATGGCTCATTAAGAGATGGATTATAATTCAGCCAGATTGACAAACTGGTGCGCAGAAGAGGATTACAGCCACAGTGTCAAAAAAAAAAAAGTCTTTAATCTCAGAATGTCAGAAGTCTGGGTAAAAATGGCCGTAATCCTGTTCTGTACCAACATCTCATCTGACGCTTTAAGTCTAGTCTCAAAAATATCCCACTCTACCTGCCAATCTCTTCACTGACAGGTATTTATACTGTGTCGTAGATATTATTAAAACTATTTTTACAACATTGAAGTGACAGAGCTGTGCAGGAAGTAAAACAAATAAGACAATAAAACAGATAAAAGTACATAAATTTGTAACAGCAATAAAATGCAAAATGATTAAACCAGCGGTTAAAAGTGAGGGGTAAAAATAAATAAATAAATAAATACATAAACAAACAA